GATGGTGCACTACAGTGTTATACCATGAATCATGGTTCTGGGTGGCCCACTACAGTGTACTGTCATGAATCATGGTTCTGGATGGTCCACTACAGTGTTATACCATGAATCATGGTTCTGGATGGTTCACTAAATTCCCACTCACATTCTTGTGAGTGGGACTCGCCAAGGTGAGTAACCTTGATCGTTCTGGTTCACCTACCCTACCTCCTTTCCCTCTCCCTCTCTCTCTCTCCCTCTCCCTCTCTCTGCCTCTCCCTTTCTTTCTCTCCCTCTCTTTACCTCCCTCTCTCCTCGTCTCACCATGAGTTATCAAGTGAGGAAAAATATGTAAGTTGATATCTATCCAATAATCCAATATATATATGATTCGACCTCCATGAGAGAGAGAGAGAGAGAGAGAGAGAGAGAGAGAATGGAAATCGAGGTTAGGTAGGCGTCTGGAGAGAGGGAGACAATTGTAAATCACTTTTATAAGACGAAAATAGGTAATCAGATACCTGAATGAGATTGTTGGACGGAGGATCGAGCCCTCGACATCTCTTTCTGCTGATTCCTGTAGTTTAATGAGTCGGTAAACGAGAAATTAATGAGTAGCTTTCATTCGTTGGATCAGGGTAATTAAGGTGGTCTTTGGGGCTTCGTAAACAGTAGTGATCCTCACAGCATCACAGACACACAGAGATCATCTCCACACCTTCATAAACAGAAGTGATCTTCACAGCATCATTACCAAACAGGAGACATCTCCAGAGCATCATAACCAAACAGACGTCGTCTCAACAGCATCATAACCAAACAGACGTCGTCTCAACAGCATCATAACCAAACAGACGTCACCTCCACAGCATCATAACCAAACAGACGTCGTCTCAACAGCATCATAACCAAACAGACGTCACCTCCACAGCATCATAACCAAACAGACGTCGTCTCAACAGCATCATAACCAAACAGACGTCGTCTCAACAGCATCATAACCAAACAGACGTCGTCTCAACAGCATCATAACCAAACAGAAGTCACCTCCACAGCATCATAACCAAACAGAAGTCACCTCCACAGCATCATAATTAAACAGAAGTCACCTCCACAGCATCATAATCAAACAGAAGTCACCTCCACAGCTTCATAATCAAACAGAAGTCACCTCCACAGCATCATAACCAAACAGAAGTCACCTCCACAGCATCATAATCAAACAGAAGTCACCTCCACAGCATCATAATCAAACAGAAGTCACCTCCACAGCATCATTACCAAACAGAAGTCACCTCCACAGCATCATTACCAAACAGAAGTCACCTCCACAGCATCATAATCAAACAGAAGTCACCTCCACAGCATCATTACCAAACAGAAGTCACCTCCACAACATCATTACCAAACAGAAGTCACCTCCACAGCTCCACTGATCAAACATTACCAGTCGCCTCTTACGTAAACTCCAGTAATTTTCTCGTTTAGGTCGCCATCTGTAAATGAGGACAGGGGCAAATTATCTGGTCTAGTTTTGCAATAATTTTGGGCGTGCCGAGTTGAACTATGTGAGGGTAAACTGGATTTCTAGAACACAGTAATTACACACACAACGTAGCAGCAGATGGTACTGTTGTGAGTGCTGTCTATGTTCAGTCTATCTATTGTGATGAATCTCTGGACCATTCCTAGCCTTTCACTATCCTTGGGTAGTTCCACGAATGGATTGATGGGTAAGACACTGCGACACTTGGGAATATTTATTTGTCGGAACTTTTCGCCTGTACAGCATTCTTCATCAGTCGTAGGTAACTCAGGTGAGGGTAAAAAAGATGAGTGGCAAGGGACCGATCTCCTCCAAATTATTTATTTTACTATCTCCAGTGTTATATTCAACTGATGAAGGTTGCTGCTGAGCAAGCGAGACGTTTTAACAATAATGATCTCCAAGATTTGTACATGTGTCTTATTTATCAACCTGCTTTGAATATAGACTAAAGAAACATGTGAATGGGATTAGTTGAGTGTGAGTAAGACCTACCTAGAATGGACACAAGTCTATTGCAATACTCCACTACTCTTGTGTTCAGAGAAGGAAAGAGGTCATGAACGGAATGTGTGTACAGTAATAAATTTACACAACTGAAAGTGTTCGAAACGACTGTATTTTTATTGTAGCTACGTTTCACCCGCTGGGAATGTTATCAAGACTCCATGTACAAACCAAAACATACACGTACGACAAGAATGGGAAGCGAAACAGCACATAAAAGTGAGAGGGTAACTTAACAGAGTCTAAAACGGTCATTTACAGTCAGTAACAATACCAGTATTGTCGGGTCTTTGGATGATTCCTGTTGATGTTTCTAAGATATTAAAACTGTCACTGTTTTGAGTGATCGTGTCAACTTCCAGACACTTGTGGCGAAACACAGGGTGTCTGATAACTAATATTATGTCCTCCCATTTCACGAGATGACTGAGAGAACTGCGATGACCTACCCAAGCATCTTGTCGGAGTGCAAGAGTAATCGTGCTGTCCAATGGTTGTTAGGTAAGACACATATGCAACAGTTAGGTATCTTTATTTCGAAACGTTTCGCCTACACAGTAGGCTTCTTCAGTCGAGTACAGAAAAGTTGATAGAAGCAGAAGATACTTGAAGACGATGTAATCAGTCCATCACAGTAATCAGTCATCATGGAATAATACTCTTCTCCAGACTGAGGGACTGACCACCTCAAAACTTCAAGGGTGATGGACTGATTTCATCGTCTTCAAGTATCTTCTGCTTCTATCAACTTTTCTGTATTCGACTGAAGAAGCCTACTGTGTAGGCGAAACGTTCGAAATAAGATACCTAACTGTTGCATATGTGTCTTACCTAACAACCTGTCGGTATTTTATACCATTTTAATGTTCTCTCTGTCCAATGGTTGTAAACACACGTAGTTCTAGACAGATTGACACCCTGACACCTCCAACAAGAGAAATATAGTCTTACCTAGTGTCTAATTGACAAATACATCTCTAAGATATCCAACTGCAAACATAACTATCACTAAAACAACTAGGCACAATACCCTGACTGGAACAAGACACAAGTAACCCACACGTAGGAGAGACAACTTTCTGACTTTGTGGCTGGTCCAAGTCGAACCGAGACGTCGTCATACGCTTCTCTCTCCTCTGTGTGGGTTATTTGCGTATAATCATCACTGTCTTTGCTGCATTTACAGACATCAGTAGACAGAAACATCACCCACATTAGTGCAGAATACACATCCCCATACACTGTGCCACACTCAGAACTCCACATCAGGCAACCGACACTAAGCAAATTAGCGAAATACGTTATGATAATAAGACACAGGAGCAAGAAGTGCGTATATTTATTCTTGAAACGTTTCGCCTACAAAGTGGACTTCTTCAGTCATTGCAGAGTCAGCAGTAGCAGCGAAATACCGGTGGAAATACTGGGGACGTGTTTCCTTAAGACACCTGCTGTCTTTGTTCACCTAGTAGTAAGTAGGTACCAGGGTATTAGGTGACTGGTGTAGGTGGCATCCTGGGGACAAAAATAACCTAAGCTGCGGGAAATACTCAGCATAACAATGGACTTTCTATATAGAATGTCACTAATGTCAGCTATGGTCTCTATAAGTTGTATCATTTACTTGTAGAAATAAAGATTATTATTATTATTATTATTATTATTATTATTATTATTATTATTATTATTATTTAAGCCATAAAAAAAACATTTTGTTTCTATGTTACGAATAAATTTTAACGCTAGGGCGTCACTAACAGTCTAACTGGTCCCACACCAGTTTACGATTAGTTGGAGGATCGAGCCTTGACTGCACATTATGCTGAGTAACTCACTCGGGTTTAGTTTTGTGGGTTTAGATTAAGTTAGGCCATTCTTAAGGGACTTTATAAGGGGCTGATTATACCTAATGTGATAAATATGGGTTACTGTAGGCGATTCTGTGTCATTTGTCAGGTAAATTCGTTTGAACCATGGAACGGGTGGGATTTGAACGTTTATTAATGCAAATTGTTGAATTGCTTCATACAGTATATGTCGTTCGTTTCGTTTTTTTTTTTTTTTTTTGGATTTTTAACCCCGGAGGGTTAGCCACCCAGGATAACCCAAGAAAGTCAGTGCGTCATCGAGGACTGTCTAACTTATTTCCATTGGGGTCCTTAATCTTGTCCCCCAGGATGCGACCCACACCAGACGACTAACACCCAGGTACCTATTTGCTGCTAGGTGAACAGGACAATAGGTGTAAGGAAACGTGTCGGATTTCCACCCGCCGGGAATCGAACCCGGGCCCTCCGTGTGTGAAGCGGGAGCTTTAGCCACCAGGCCACCGGGCATGAGTTTTTGGTAGGAATGTTCACTGTTTTGGGTCACATGATGTCTGGCTTGAATAAACCACAAGCAGGCATGGTCCAGTGGTTAGCACACTGGCCAGGGAGTTTTAGAGCTCGCCTGCCGTGGGTTCGAGCCTTTGCCCGTTTCGTGATTTGTCTGTAATTGTTTTACTGCGATTTCAAGAGTCACTTATGCATGAAGTGTACACAAGTTGCTATGAGATGCTTGTATGATTCAATTATTTTCAGTCTTGGCAGGACACATACGGATGATTGGAAGTTACTGAATGATAACCGAGGCTCTAATGATGATTATTATGATGATTGAAGAGTAAGCCATATATATTATATATATATATATATATATATATATATATATATATATATATATATATATATATATATATATATATATATATATATATATATATATATATATGAGAGAAGAACCTGACCAGTACGAGCCAGGAGATTTCTCAAAGGGTTGAAGAATGAGAGAAACATTTGTGCATCATTTCAGGTATCTTTATTGTGGAAACGTTTCGCCAGTCAGTGGCTTCTTCAGTCCAATACAAAGGAGATCGGTGGAGGAGTTCGAGACAATCAGTCCCTCTTGAAGAGTTCTTTTACTTCGATGTTGTTGTGGTTTGTGTAGTCGTATATGTGCCAACGTAAGGAAGTGTTTGATCTTAGGACGCACGATATTCACTGCAACTTGACGTATTGTACAGGAATGGTACACAGTACCGACAAGATGTAGAATTAGTCACATATCTGTAGACGTTTCGCCCTCCAGTGGCTTTATCAATACAATACAAGGACTGACTTCCTTATCTTTTGTCTGTGATTCTATATTCTTCACATTATGTCCTTGTACTGTACTGATGAAGCCACTGGATAGCGAAATGTATACAAATAAAGATACCCAGATGTTGTACATGTGTCTATTTATTCAGCTGAACGTATTAATGTTTGACCTCACAGAGGATCACTGTTGGATCTTAATGGATACAATATTCACTGTAGCTGGACGTATTAAATTCTTGGCTTCGGAGACCACTGAGTCCAAAACGACTCTCCTGAGTCAGCCTTTGGAAACTTCGATCTGCGTGGAGGACTTCGCTCGTACTCTTCAGACTCAGGGTAGCGAGCCACTCCCTCATACGTCACTTCGGCCACGAAACCTGAGTCACCATTAACGTAGTAAGTCACCTTCTGAAGACGACCGTCAGGGAGCAGCACAGTGTACGAGCCATGGGTGTAATGGCCTTCCCGAGTCTCCTGGTGGGAGAAGTCGGTACCAGAATCGTCGTCAAGAACGTTATAGTGGAAATAATATCTTGGCGTATGGAAAACCTCAGAAGATATCTCTATCGATCCCTGAAAATAAACCAAATCTTTATTAATTTTGGAAATCAGGAGCTGTATGAAAGGTTAACAGGAAGGCATATAAGAACGAGACTACACCTCACTGCCATCACCAACAACACCTGACTTTATATGATGATGTGGGCAGTCAGTGATCCGTGAAACATAGTTTATATTCTACCCAAAAATTTGTCTAGTGTATTTTAAATTCTTCCAAAATTTTATTTATTAATTTTATTAATTTTGAGGTGATCAGTCCCTTAGCTGAGGAACTGACCACCTCGAAACTACGTCTTCAAGGGTGATGGACTGATGACATCGTCTTCACATCTCTACCTGCTTCTGCCAACTTTTTTGTACTCGACTGAAGAAGCCTACTGTGTAGACGAAACGTTTCGGAATAAAGATGAACATCAAAATGGTATACAATACCGACAGGTTGTTAGGTAAGACACATGCAACAGTTAGACAACTTTATTCCGAAACGTTTCGCCTACACAGTAGGCTTCTTCAGTCGAATACAGAAAATAGGCAGGAACAGTAGAGATGTGAAGACGATGTAATCAGTCCATCACCCTTGTAGTCGTAGAATTTGAGGTTGTCAGTCCCTCGGCCTGGAGAAGTTCAGTTCCATAGTCAGGAACTATCTGAAGATCAAGCGACAGTGCGGAGACTTAAATACTGTCGGAAGGAGAGGTGCAGAGTCCGCACTGTCGCTTGATCTTCAGATAGTTCCTGACTATGGAACTGAACTTCTCCAGGCCGAGGGACTGACAACCTCAAATTCTACGACTACAAGGGAGATGGACTGATTACATCGTCTTCACATCTCTACTGTTCCTGCCTACTTTCTGTATTCGACTGAAGAAGCCTACTGTGTAGGCGAAACGTTTCGGAATAAAGTTGTCTAACTGTTGCATATGTGTCTTACGGAATAAAGATACCTAACTGTTGTATATGTGTCTTACTTACCAGGAATCAATAGACCTACTTCAGAGCTCCTTACATTCTTACATATAAATAATATGACCTTATATAGACACGCAATGAGATCTGGATATTGCGACTACACACTTCTTCAGCAGCTGAAATCTGTGAGAACATCCATAGCTCTCTCTCATGTCTGTTTACCTTGTCATCTCTGTTTACCTTGTCATCTCTGTTTACATTGTCATCTCTGTTTACCTTGTCATCTCTGTTTACCTTGTCATCTCTGTTTACCTTGTCATCTCTGTTTGCCTTGCCATCTCTGTTTGCCTTGTCATCTCTGTTTACATTGTCATCTCTGTTTACATTGTCATCTCTGTTTACCTTGTCATCTCTGTTTACCTTGTCATCTCTGTTTACATTGTCATCTCTGTTTACCTTGTCATCTCTGTTTACCTTGTCATCTCTGTTTGCCTTGTCATCTCTGTTTACATTGTCATCTCTGTTTACATTGTCATCTCTGTTTACCTTGTCATCTCTGTTTACCTTGTCATCTCTGTTTGCCTTGTCATCTCTGTTTACATTGTCATCTCTGTTTACCTTGTCATCTCTGTTTGCCTTGTCATCTCTGTTTACCTTGTCATCTCTGTTTGCCTTGTCATCTCTGTTTACCTTGTCATCTCTGTTTACCTTGTCATCTCTGTTTACCTTGTCATCTCTGTTTGCCTTGTCATCTCTGTTTACCTTGTCATCTCTGTTTACCTTGTCATCTCTGTTTACCTTGTCATCTCTGTTTGCCTTGTCATCTCTGTTTACCTTGTCATCTCTGTTTACCTTGTCATCTCTGTTTACCTTGTCATCTCTGTTTACATTGTCATCTCTGTTTACCTTGTCATCTCTGTTTACCTTGTCATCTCTGTTTGCCTTGTCATCTCTGTTTACCTTGTCATCTCTGTTTACCTTGTCATCTCTGTTTGCCTTGTCATCTCTGTTTACATTGTCATCTCTGTTTACATTGTCATCTCTGTTTGCCTTGTCATCTCTGTTTGCCTTGTCATCTCTGTTTACATTGTCATCTCTGTTTACCTTGTCATCTCTGTTTACATTGTCATCTCTGTTTACCTTGTCATCTCTGTTTACCTTGTCATCTCTGTTTACATTGTCATCTCTGTTTACCTTGTCATCTCTGTTTACATTGTCATCTCTGTTTACCTTGTCATCTCTGTTTACATTGTCATCTCTGTTTACCTTGTCATCTCTGTTTACCTTGTCATCTCTGTTTGCCTTGTCATCTCTGTTTACATTGTCATCTCTGTTTACATTGTCATCTCTGTTTGCCTTGTCATCTCTGTTTGCCTTGTCATCTCTGTTTACATTGTCATCTCTGTTTACCTTGTCATCTCTGTTTACATTGTCATCTCTGTTTACCTTGTCATCTCTGTTTACATTGTCATCTCTGTTTACAATGTCATCTCTGCCACCTACCATTACTTAATGTTACAGAGACTGAGTCAGGGTTATGCCATTGTCTACCTGGCGTATACCTGGAGTATACCTGGCGTATACCTGGAGTATACCTGGAGTATACCTGGAGTATACCTGGAGTATACCTGGAGTATAACTGAAGTATACCTGGAGTATACCTGGAGTATACCTGGAGTATACCTGGAGTATACCTGGAGTATACCTGGAGTATACCTGGAGTATAACTGAAGTATACCTGGAGTATACCTGGAGTATACCTGGAGTATACCTGGAGTATACCTGGAGTATAACTGGAGTATACCTGGAGTATACCTGGAGTATACCTGGAGTATACCTGGAGTATACCTGGAGTATACCTGGAGTATACCTGGAGTATACCTGGAGTATAACTGAAGTATACCTGGAGTATACCTGGAGTATACCTGGAGTATACCTGGAGTATACCTGGAGTATACCTGGAGTATACCTGGAGTATAAATGAAGTATACCTGGAGTATACCTGGAGTATACCTGGAGTATACCTGGAGTATACCTGGAGTATAACTGAAGTATACCTGGAGTATAACTGAAGTATACCTGGAGTATACCTGGAGTATACCTGGAGTATACCTGGAGTATAACTGAAGTATACCTGGAGTATACCTGGAGTATACCTGGAGTATACCTGGAGTATAACTGAAGTATACCTGGAGTATACCTGGAGTATACCTGGAGTATACCTGGAGTATACCTGGAGTATACCTGGAGTATAACTGAAGTATACCTGGAGTATACCTGGAGTATACCTGGAGTATACCTGGAGTATAACTGAAGTATACCTGGAGTATACCTGGAGTATACCTGGAGTATACCTGGAGTATACCTGGAGTATAACTGAAGTATACCTGGAGTATACCTGGAGTATACCTGGAGTATACCTGGAGTATAACTGAAGTATACCTGGAGTATACCTGGAGTATACCTGGAGTATACCTGGAGTATACCTGGAGTATACCTGGAGTATAACTGAAGTATACCTGGAGTATACCTGGAGTATACCTGGAGTATACCTGGAGTATACCGGGAGTATACCTGGAGTATAACTGAAGTATACCTGGAGTATACCTGGAGTATACCTGGAGTATACCTGGAGTATAACTGAAGTATACCTGGAGTATACCTGGAGTATACCTGGAGTATACCTGGAGTATACCTGGAGTATACCTGGAAGGTGTTACGGGGGTCAACGCCCCCATCGAAACAAATTATTTGTATATTAGTACCTCCTTGGCGAGCCTTGATGTCAGTCAAGAGCTCTTGATCCGAGGAATTACAGCTATCCTTTCCTTATGTATATCAAACTCGATTAACCCTTATTTCGGAGCTTCTAATTGATAATAATAATAATAATAATAATAATAATAATAATAATAATAATAATAATAATAATAATTATTATTATTATTATTATTATTATTATTATTATTATTATTATTATTATTATTACAATGATAATTAAGAAGTGAATTTATTTAGATATTTAGGGATAGAAACACTGGAAGACGGGTATATGGAAAACGAAATAAACCAGGGAATAGACAAGGGAGAAAAAATTAGAAGATATATTAAAGCATCTGTGGGAAGATAGAAATTGGTCAAACATCCCTGGGAGGATAGTGGTACACTTTTATATGGGTGTGAAGCATGGGTTTATAACGTTGCAGCGAGGAGGAGGCTGGAGGCAGTGGAGATGTCGTGTCTGAATGTAATTAGGAGCATGGAAAGTAGAAGATAAACTGAGGTTGAAAGGGGGTATAATACAGAGGGTTGAGGAGGGGTTTGTGAGGTTTTCCTGACATTTAGGAAATAGAGAGTAGACGAGGATGACCAGGAGGTGTATAACTTTGGGGTGGAAGGAAAGGTTGAAGGGAGAGTATGGAGGAGGTTTTGAGTGGTATGGGCTTGAGCATCCAGCAGGCATGTATGAAAAGTTAGATGAGAGTGGAGATAATTTGTTTGTAGGGTTTGACATGCTGTTGGAGTTGAGCAAGGTATCATAAATGAAAGGAATCGGGAAATTCTGAAAGAGAAATGAGGAGGACGAAGCGCAGAAAGTCCTATGATCTGCTATGTCTGTGCATTTATGACAAGACAGTTACTGACTGAATCATGGTCAGTGTTTTATTTACTTTAATAAGGTGAAGGCTCACTCCACCTTGCTGGAAGACTGCCAGTGTGGATAATAATAATAATAATAATCTTATGCGTCTTTATCATTTATACAAATAACTTGTGTAGGTTATTTGTGTATTGTTTTAGTCACAATATTGTGACTCCTCATTCGTTATCAGATATTCTCAATTCTTCATCTTAAAACCATGTTTGTACTCACCAGAGAGCTGGTAGGGGGGTAGCCACGAGTCCTGCTGCACACCACCGCCGCCACCACCTGACATACAGTCATAACCTTATACGGGGAAGAGTTTAACATTAGAAATAGTATCAACAAATGTAAGAAACGCGTGCATATATATATATATATATATATATATATATATATATATATATATATATATATATAATATATATATATATATATATATATATATATATATATATATACACACTGTTGTTTCTCTAATTTGGCCACATATTAAGGAAACACATTCACCATTGTTCAGTTAGTAACTTGTTGGATTAGTCACTTCTGATTCACATGATCATCTCAATTATTTGGGTCCGGCTAACAGATTCACTCTGAATCATTTCATAGTTGGTACATTGCTCTCACTCCAACAGTGCTTTAAATCAACCAAAACTCACTACTCTTCCTGACACAGATGTAATCTCACTTTCCCCCCCCCCCCTCACTGTTATGGGAAGGAGGATCGAGTCTCATGTTCCAGCCTCTACTGTGAAGTATTTTCTTACGGAACACATTCTGACTATGTCTCAACACTGAGTCAAGTCAGCTCCTGTAATGATATTAGTGAAATTACTAACAATATGTTAGGAAATCTGACTTGTGTCCTTTTGCCTAATAATAATAATAATAATAATAATAATAATAATAATAATAATAATAATAATAATAATAATAATAATAATAACAAAACAACAATAATAATAATAATAATAATAGTAATAATAATAATAATAATAATAATAACAAAACAACAACAATAATAATAATAATAATAATAATAATAATAATAATAATAATAATAATAATAATAATAATAATAATAATAATAATAACATTTATTGCTACAAGTACACGGTACAACTTATACAGACCATAGCTGCATCAGTGACGTACTCCCAAAAAATGATTGAGTCTCAGGGATTTTTCGACGAGAATTGCCCGTTGAGAAGACACACAACCCAGTACTTTCCACTGAACATAATACTATATAGGAAGCCACTGGTTATGCAGAACATTTGGCTATTGTTATCCAGTGCTAAAAGGAAAAGAGGTAAGGTTCCCGGGTGTCAAGATTGTAGTTCATTGTGGGGTCAGCTTGGCACAATCATTATGATTTCTCATTATACATTAACCTGCTTACGGACAGGAATCTCCCCCTTCTCTCAACCCCAGAAGTGAATGGCAGTAACCCTCTCAGGCCTCGGTCAGATGACCAAAAGCTCCAGCATCTGGTCATCGTATGACTAAGACCCGCGTCAGGAAACACTTGTCCTGTCTCCTGACGAACCTTACCTAACCTAACCTCTCAGCTGAGTCCTGAAGACCCCTCGTTATACATTAATAAGACCCTGAGTAAAAGCCTCCTCCTCCGACTCTTTCAGCAGCCCACGGCTGGGTACTGAAGCCTCCGAAGTAACTTCTTTTTTTCTAAGCGCCTGAAGATGCTAACACAAGACCCGTGTACCGCCTAGGGTCTCTGCGAGTTTCGAACCACAAGAAACTACGACAACTGCTACAAGATGGGAATTAAAATGCGCATTAGGGCCTCCTGGAATACTTGTATAAGAATCGCGAATTCTGTCTCTCTGGATCGGCCAAGGTTTTTCAAATGGTTACGAGAACGATGGAGAGAGACAGTTTGCCGAGCAAGTAATAAATGGCGCACAAGGGTTTAGAGCTTGATATAAGTGGCAGTGGTGGTATTTTGTTGATGATTGTTAAGTGGTGACGGTGGTAGCGTGGTGTTGATAGTGATGGTGGTAGTGTGGTGTTGATAGTGGTAGTATGGTGGTGGTGATAGTGGTAGCACAGTGGTGGTGATGGTGGTAGTATAGTGGTAGTGGCCACCACTTGAGCCCCGGCCACTTACGACCTCCTCCACAACCTCCCTCCAACCCTTCCTGAGACGAACCTACCCCCTCCCCTTGTCCACCCCAATTATGTCCGTCGTTCTTAGTCTACTAATAAATAGGAGGCCTGGTCACAGACCGGGCCGCGGGGGCGTTGACCCCCGAAACTCTCTCCAGGTAAACTCCAGGTAATCCTAAATAACAAAACCATCACATCAACTCTTCCTCTGTCCAAATTCCTTTTCTCCTCGATCTCTGCTTGAAGTTCACAACATGGACGCAAATCAGGACGTATCCCGTGGCCTGGTAGACAACGCTCTTTCCTCACACACAGTGTCCGTGGTTCGATCTCCGGCAAGGGAGGAAACATTGGGCGTGTTTCCTTACTCCTGTTGTCCCCATTCACCTAGCAAGCAAGTAGGTACTTGGGTGTTAGTCGACTGGTGTGGGTCGCATTCTGGGGGACAAGATTTAAGGATCCCAGTGGAAATAAGACAGTCCTCGATGACGCAGCGACTTTCTTGGGTGACTAACTCTCTGGGGTTAAGAATCGGAACAAAATTTTAGCTAATCTGCGCTGCCTCCGTTTACGTTCTTGTTACAACGTTTAAAGTCCATGCCTCACACTCATGGAAAACTGTTTGGATTCCAATATACTGGCGTCTTCATACAACACAAGAACAGGGGATCACAAGCACCTATTTACTGAACGGTAAATAAGTACCTGGGTGTTAGTCGACTGTTGTGGATCGCATAAGACATCTGTTTGACTTACCTGAGATATCCTGGGATTATTAATGAAAAAACTAAAAGGTACACTTTACAATGATCTTCGATACGTGTCCACTGCCCCGGCTACAACATATAGCAATCCTGAGGGTCCGGGAATTGAAGCAGAGGTCTGGCTGCCATAAAACTGTCAGCTATCTTCGTTAGCCAGAGCACTCTGCCAGGTTGAAATCTCCATCAATCTACCGAATTGATAAATTAGACACATGTGCAACATTTGGGTATCTTTAATGAGGAAATACCCAAGTGTTGCACATGTGTCTAATGTAACAACGTGTCGGTTCTCTGAACCATTCATCTGCAATCTACCGAATTGTATACATTCGTTCGTTACGAATTTACTGCACGTATAACAGCATTAAAAGCTAGTTCACCTGTATGTTCATTGTGCAATGGCGCCGAGAGACACTGTGACTCCAGCCATCTATCTCCTTCCTATATACGCCAGCACAACCCAACAGAACCCATCTATCATGTCCCTTGAAGAAATCAACACATTATATGCTTCACAGACTCATTTGATTCTATCCTGCTTTCACTTTTGCGGTTGCTGTGCCATGACCCACCTCAGGAAATTTATTTACGTTTCTGTAGACGAAACAATACGACCACCGGTGTCCCCTAGACGAGTCATTGTCTCCCGCTTGCATTGGATGTTATGAAAGGTCTCAGAGTTGCTATGATGGTATGGCTGGCTGGTGGTGATTGTTACATGGTACCTCACCATATCCGTGATCAGCTGGGCATCATACATGTAACAAGTGCGTCGACACATATACATGTAGACATTACACGTATTGCATGGGACTACACCTGTGCGTATTGCCGATACTTATTTACAATACGCTGAAACTGGAGGGGAAGATGCTGCTAGTTTCAGAAAGACTCAAATCAATAAATACGGGGGTTACAGAAATACTTTACGATATCCTTATTACCCTACTGAAGTCTCCTGGCTAAGGCTGCCACATTCCAACACCTTGTACGATCCCCATCCAGCTTTTTACGATCCCACAGCCAGCTTTTGTTCCCACTGTATCGTTATCGTACTGAATATTACCTCCTGTACGAGTCTCATCCTGAATATAACAAACAGCACACTGCTGGTGTATCCAATTTACCTAAATGAAAACAAAATCTAATCTCCCATGAAAAAAAAAAATATCTGACTTTAATTAGGCTTTACACCAAATTTCACTAAGCCAAAAAGCCGAGTCTCAATTCCAACATCACTAAATTATTCACCAAAGTCAGATTTATAAACCCAGAATTATATAATTTATTTCATTAGAGCAAATTTTCACACAGTGTGATGCACCGAAAAGCTAATTCATTATCTTTAATAGAACTATTCTCGTCTATCTTTAGATAATAAAGAGATACTCAAATTTACTCTTTTAAAGTAAACTGTTTTATCTATTTTATTAAATAATTTCCACAAAATCAGAGATTTGTGTATAAAATCGAGTATCAATAAGGTATGTGATCCCATGTGCACATGTTACTGTGTGTGCACTCAAAACGTTTGTACTTATCGTAATTTCGGGTGTACATACTCTCGCGTGCACATTCAGTCGTGTGTACATACACTCGTGTGTACATAACTTGTAATTACATACACTCGTGTGTACATAAACTTGTAAATACATACACTCGTGTGTACATAACTTGTAAATACATACACTCGTGTGTACATAAACTTGTAAATACATACACTCGTGTGTACATAAACTTGTAATTACATACACTCGTGTGTACATACACTTGTAAATACATACACTCGTGTGTACATAAACGTAAATACATACACTCGTGTGTACATAAACTTGTAAATACATTCACTCGTCTGTACATAAACTTGTAAATACATACACTAGTGTGTGCATACACTGTACATACATACATACATACATACAAACATACATACATACATACATACATACATACATACATACATACATACATACATACATACATACATACATACATACATACATACATACATACATATATATATATACACTACTGTATATACACCCATGTGGTCATCCAATCGTGTATTTAATGTATATTTAACAACACATAGACACATATAACAACAACACCGATATAACAACAACACCGATATAACAACAACACCGATATATTTATATAACCTCGATCTGACCAATAAGAATTTAAAACGTACAGAAACGAACATTTAAATCTCTCTTGAGCGTTTAGTTCTGGCGTTTTGGACGCGTCATTTCCCAGTTAGATGTGAAGACGTCACGTAATGTGGCGTCACTCAGGTGGGGTATTTGTGACCTTTGCCATATTAATACAGGTCAGTGAAACGTTATACCCAGACAGGTATAAATACAGACAGCCAGCAGAAGCTGGTATCACTGTTCGAATTACTAGTGCACCATGAACACTAAGGTACGTAGCTGTGTCTGGTACTTCTGAAGATAGACAGTCTTAAGTTGGCATCTTAAGGTGCTAACTTAAGATGCTAACTTAAGTTAGTACTTTAGTCTATATGACTAAGTTGAAAGGTATTGATTTGTTACTTTGCAAAGTGTACTAAGTTCCTCCCTGAAATGTCTGAAATTATCTCGAAATTCTCCCCAGAATGTCTAAAAATATTTTAAAAATTCCCCAGAATGTCTAGAAATGAAATTAAAATTTCCCTGGAATGTCTTACAATAATTTGAAAGTACCTCCAGAAATAATTGGAAATATTTTTCGATTTCTCCCACTAACATCTAAGAATTTTATACATATTACTTCTATAATATCTGGTAATATTCTAAATGTTTTTTGTATAAGTGGTGGAGTGGTAAGCCAGTGGAAGGCCTCGGTCAGATGACCAAAAGCTCCAACTGTGGGTCATCTAAGTAAGACCCACGTCAGGAAACACTTGTCCTGTCTCCTGACGAATATTATACCTATTTAATCCCTATTTAACAAATTAAAATAGTTTTGACAGGTGATAAATAGGTTACATACATCCTTAATGACCATCGTGTAGTAGACAGACTTTAAACCTAATAATTCAAACAGATTTATTTAAATACATCTAAGTTTAGTTATTTGTATACATTATACTTAAGATTGTATACAATGTATTGAAGATTGTTTACATTATATTTCAAGTTGTTTACGTTGTATTTAAGATAGTTTAGGATGAATAATGATCAGTTTAACATCTCTTCGTCAGGTATTTCTGTTGTTGGGTCTTGTGGCGTTCGTCTCGGCAGACAAGAGACCTTCCTTGGCCTATGGCGCTCCTCAGGTAAGACCAGTAACTCTGTCTTCCTGAAGAAAAGACATAAGTTGTTGAAGAATTGTTGCTCGGAACAACGTTTCGCTCTGTGTAGAGATTTATCAATTTGCGTTTTGCTCTGTGTCGAGGTTTGACAAGTCAGATTTCACTATGAATAATAATAATGATAATAACAATAATTTTTATTTCTACCAGTACACGTACAAGGTATACAGACCATAGCTGACATCAATGACATACTACTATATAGAAAGTCCCCTGTTATGTTGAGCATTTCCCGCAAATTAAGTCAGTTTTGTCCCAGGATGCGACCCACACCAGTTCACTAACACCCAGTTTATCAAAACGTGATTTGATAAAGTTTTACACACAGCTAAAAGTTGTCCCAGTAAATGCAATGAGTTTATTTTCAGTATTTCTAGCTATACGACATTCGAATCCAATCCATCTGTCATACTTGATAAATCTTACAGCTTAAATTCGCAACATTGATTCGCATGAGCTCTCAACTACTTGTCCTTTGGATCTATGAAAGAAAACATAAGGGAAATTGGATACCTTTACAGGCACAGAGGTTCTCATCTGAGGAGTTCGAGGCTCCCAAGTATGGCTTCGACTGGGCTGTAAGGGACGGCGAGTCTGGCAACGACTTCGCCCAGCAGGAGACTCGCGACAACGAAAACACCAAGGGGTCGTTCACCGTTCAGCTCCCCGACGGTCGTCTGCAGACTGTTAATTACTACGTAGATGGTGACTCAGGTTTCATTGCCGATGTCCAGTACCAGGGAGAAGCTCGCTACCCTGACTCCAGTGAGGTTGGCAGGTACTCCCCACCAGCAGCACCCAGTTCCCGGTACGGCGCGCCTTAAGTGGAGTTGTGTATAATACAGTCACCCAGTTCCCGGTACGGCGCATCTTAAGAAGCTCACATAACTCCACCAGTCACCCAAGTTCCTTACCTATCTCGAACTTACATCAAGAGGAACTTGAAGTTTCACATTTCCAGTGGAGAATCTTCAACTTCTTGCCTGACGACTGAATGCTATAACTCTGAAAGCCTTTTAGCTCATAGGTATGAACTTTTGATTTCCAAAGTTCGTATGAACTTTTTTGCTAACAGCTCTCATGCGATTTCCCTTTGGCAAAATATTTATTTGAATTATATGTTGCTAAGCATTTTTCTTATTTATTTTTCCTATTGATGTTTTTTCTCGTACTGTCTTCTGGTGGTTTGTCAAGAAAAGGACAAGTGTGTCCGTGTCACGGACAAGTGCTTCCTGACACGGGTATTTGTGGCTTGATGGCGCGTAGCTGTGAATAAATGGCCTAGAAAACCGACAAGTTGATACATTAGACACGTGTGCAACGTTTTGGAATCCTTATTGAGGAAACGTTTCGCCAGGATTATCTTAGTTTAATCGCAATATCGTAGATTTTGTTAAATTCCTCATTTAGAAGACACTTTCTTAAACAGAACGTGAAGGAAAACTCGCTGTTGAGATGTCTTCTCCTGCTTAAGAAACACTGCATAAAAGGACATCGAAGCGTTACAACACGGCAGATTTTGATAAACTAGACACATGTGCAAAACTTGGGTATCTTTATGGTGGAAACGTTTCGCCCTATAGTGCCTTCATCAGTCCAATAGAAAGAAGAATGGTGAAGATCTGAAGACTGAGGTAATCAGTCCCTCAGCTTGGAGTCGATGTAATCAGTCCATCAAGACTGTTATTTTTACATATTTCCAATCAGAATTATTGTGTGTATCGTGAACAATATACGTAGGAATTGTAACATCAGACCTCTTAACATGGTTAAATACAATATTTGTACCTTGATTCTTGTATCAACTTCTGGGATATAAACTTGATATAAACTTGACTCTGATATAAACTTGACTCTGGTATAAACTTGACTCTGATATAAACTTGACTCTGATATAAACTTGACTCCGATATAAACTTGACTCTGGTCTAAACGCAGCCTTAGAGTCTGGATTAAGTTTTGCTCAACCTGAGTCGATAGCGAAAAAAAAATGGCAGCCTGGAAAAGAAGGGCGGCCTCTCTCTCTCTCTCTCTCTCTCTCTCTCTCTCTCTCTCTCTCTCTCTCTCTCTCTCTCTCTCTCTCTCTCTCTCTCTCTCTCTCTCTTGGCACTTGCAACATACATAAACTCTTAATATACTCAACATTATTTTCACAACCATGAATCCCAATTGTCCAAGAACTTTCATTAAGACTTACCATGACCTCGAGAAAGATGTTACTTTCCACATTACAAAGTCGGTTACCTTAAAGGTTATTCTCACAAAGAAGCGTGAAGGACTTAGTGATGCTGATAAATATTCACTCCCTAATAACAACCCTCTTAGACACATTACCTGCAATTTTAATAAGGATTTGAGACGTACACTTAAGTGTAATGATGATCTCGTTAAGCAACGCTCAGTAAGGTCAGTCAGAGACGCTCAGTAAGGTCAGTCAGTAATTAAGAAGCGTAAATTAGATAGTTCAGCTAGATTATATGTTCTGTGGGGCTGGCAGTGTATATTTTGTTAAAATAATCATTCAACTACTTAAGGGGCACGTAAGTTCCTCTGTCTTCTAATATAGGTCACTTAAGGGGCACGTAAGTTCCCGATCTTCTAATAACGGACACTTAAGGGGCACGTAAGTTCCCTGTCTTCTATTAACGGACACTTAAGGGGCACGTAAGTTCCGGATCTTCTAATATAGGTCACTTAAGGGGCACATAAGTTCCCTGTCTTCTAATAACGGACACTTAAGAGGCACGTAAGTTCCCCCACGTTTTAATAACGTGTTCATTTTTCCACTATAATCTACCTTGTCTATAATTACTATCACATTATTTTGTCTGTTCCGTAAGTTAAGTCCAGGATCTTTCCTTAATTCATGGTATACCTTAACAAATCTTTGAGAACAATTGTGTTGCCACACAATTAGAGGAATTAGTAAGAAATGCTACTTCATACTTAAGTAATTATTGATTGTAAACAAAGTTGTGAGAAAAAAAAATCAAATCACGGAACGGATGGGATTTGAACCCATGGCGAGTGAGTCTAAGAACTCACAAGCCGGTGCGTTAACCACTGGCCAGTACTTTTTAGAACTCACTTGCCATGGATTCGAATCCCACCCGTTCCCTGATTCGTTTGCAATCGTGTTATTGCAAACGAATCAGGGAACGGGTGGGATTGCAATTTCGTGAATCAAATTTACGTTTATCGATTGTTTATTGATTTATGTTTATTGTAAATAAACTCTAGTCGCTTGTGTCACTTATGACACAATATATACTCTCAATATACTCTAATTTATTACAATATACCCTGTTTTACTTCCCACATGAGAGATGCATATACATAGTCCATGTATATCTCTCCGTTACATGTGTCAGATTTAAATATATATACATATGTACGCAAGACAAGCCACAGGAGGGTGGAAATCTTTAGCTAAAGTACTTTCACACTTTTCAGAGCGTCATCAGGAGCTATGCAATGTTGCAAGGTTGCAACTGAACGGGTGAGGGGAAGTTTTTTTTCTCTCAGAATAGCGCAGAGTGGGTCTGTCGCCTCCTACTGGCTCTCTTAGACTGTGGTCAGCGGACAGCGTCACTCCTACCACAGTCTACGAGAACCAGAAGGAGGCGACAGGCCCACTCTGCACTATTCTGAGGAAAAATACTTCCCCTCACTCCTTCAGTTGCAGCCTTGAAACATTGCATAGCTCCTGATGACGCTCTGAAAAGTTTGAAAGTACTTTAGCTAAAGATTTCCACTCCCCGTGGCTTATCCTGTATTGTTAAGATCGTCTGTCTGCGATTGTTTGCACACATATGTATGTATATACAGAAACATGATTCAGACAGGTGTACGTCTTCTCCATGTGTGTCAAATTAAAATGTATATGTATATATTTTTGAGTTTACTGTGATGGGTAAGGTGTACGTTCAGCTGTGATGAGTTGAACAGGTCTTGGGGACTATCTGTATTATGGGTCACCTTCAAGATTGCACGATGCACTCTTGTAGTCACACCTGTGATGTCGAAGAAACAGATATTTGTGCAACATTTGGCAATGCCAAATGTTGCACAGGTGTCTTATTCTTCAACTTAATGATTTTCAAAGGCATTTTCATCACATCTGTTATGTTACCAACATCAATAGAGGCCTCAATGTTCTCAATGAGGGACCTACGTTTTGGGGGCCCTGAAGCTCGAACCATCACGTTGGCGCCCCATTGCAACCCCTTCTCATACAGCACTGTGGACTAAAGTCGCTTTTGGGGCCTCCTTCGGAATTAGGGGCCCTTGAAGCCTAAGCTTCATTAGTTTCAAAGTAGATCCTCCCCTGGTGGTTGTCCTGAGAGAATCTTCCACCTGCTGAGGAGTCTCCGCTACTGCTGTGTTTACTGTGTGTGTTGAGCGCCGCTATACACGTTTGTTTGTGAGGCAAACTGCCAGGCGGTGATCGATACGTAAGTTTATTCAGGTACACACAAATACAGTTACATAGATTATCATACATATCGGCATGTGTGTAGAGAATCCTGATCGTGGGTTCTATCCCGCGATCAGAGGGTCATAAATCTCCAGGCCAACAAAGTGACTTATTTCCATTGGGAAACTTACTTATTTCCATTGTTTGTGTCCCCCATTCTGTAATTAGGAGAGCTGAGTTGTCATGATTGTTTTCCCTCCTGTAAAAGCAAATCTCCTACATTTTCTAAAGTAATGTACAGAATGTAGGAGATTTGCGGTAATGTACGGAATGTGATGTACCTTACTGTAATGTGTGTGCAGTGTACATTCAAGTTTATAGTTGTTGTTAAATATATTACATGTATATTAAACGTTATCTTTTGTACTCTAGGCTGAGTACATTCCTTGTTTACAGTTAATATAATACAAAATATTTGTGTTAAATCCCTAGACACGCTTTTGATGGCATAAAATATTTTTTCAAGTATAATCCACAGTTCTCATTCTTCCTTCCTAGGTTAAATATGACTCACGAGATCGTAAAGACACGATTGTAAATAAACCATACTACGTGTGGGGATAAAACCCGCGGTTAGTCATAAAACTCCAGCGGATTTTTTTAATTTTGAGTAGTAGGCTGGCACGAGCATATTAAGGCCAGCTTACAGGCTAGTTGACTAGTTATTAGAGGGGAGACTGAGGGATTTTCTTCCTAATAGCTCTGGCAATTGTAATAGCTGGAAGCGAAGCAATTGTTTTCCTGTTTATGTAAAGTTTTTTGGAAATGCAGCTCAAATCAAAATTCAGAATAAGTTACACATAATTTAATTGTAAAGTTTATAAATTATATACAAAATACAGATATCAACACACAGGTGTTGAAGGAAGGATGACGGGTAAGATTGGGAGCACCAGCGTCAAAATGTAAACATTGAGAGGTGTTTATATATGCTTACAACTTACTTTAATCCCTATTTTAGGGATTAAAAGTATTCTTGACTGGTGGTAAGCGGGTGACATGCAGCCTTAATGACCCCTTGTGTAGTCTTTAAGCTTTAAATATAAATACTAAACAATCTGAGTCAATATTATGAGTGACTGGTTCACCAGGTGCTCTGAGTCACTTCTCATCTTCGCTTCACAGAATATTCTTGGCGGAAGATGAACTTTGAAGTCCAGTGGAAGTAACTTTTCAGGAGCAGTGAACGTGGTCTGCAGATGGAACTTGGTGACTTGTGTTATACACAACTCCACTTAAGGTGCGCCGTACCGGGAACTGGGTGCTGCTGGTGGGGAGTACCTGCCGACCTCACTGGAGTCGGGGTAGCGAGCTTCTCCCTCGTACTGGACATCGGCAATGAATCCTGAGTCACCGTCCACGTAGTAAGTCACAGTCTGACGACGACCGTCGGGGAGCTGAATGGTGTACGACCCCTTGGTGTTGTCGTCGTCGCGAGTCTCCTGGTGGGCGAAGTCGTTGCCGGACTCGGCGTCCTGCACTACAAAGTCGAAGCCATACTTGGGAGCTTCGAACTCCTCAGATGAGACCTGTCAGTAAAGTTATCTAATGAAGTTCTTGCTCTTAAACCACTGGGTTGTATAGTTAAGATATACAATATAATCTACAGCAATATTATACATGAACTACACCAGATCAATGTCTTTATGAACCACTACGGTAAATGTAACTCATAGTTTTTTTTTTTTTTTTGGGGGGGCTACACGGGTGTTTGTGTGATTACCTATTGACAAGTAATCTACATGTTTAACATATAGGTATCATTATTCTCGAAACATTTCGCCTGATCAGGCTTCTTTCAGCTTGTATTCAGCTAAAAACTCCTGCTGTGCAGGCACAGACTTCGACAAGATACTTAAGCGTTGAACATCTATAGGTTCCTGAAATGCAAAGGCCCTAGATAAATGTATAACATTCACCAGGACACGTGCCCTGACACGAGTCTTAGTCTTGCGATGACCCATGAACAAGTTACTGAACAGGTCGGTGAACAGGTCTCGACCAGAGAAGATGAAGTTATTCTTCCCTTTCACTGATCTATTCTGAGTACCTCCTGCTCTGCCCCATGAATACAAAACAGCACCTACCGGAGGAGGTCCGTAGGCGAGGGCTGGACGCTTGTCTGCGGCAACCACGGCCACCAGACCCAGCAGGAAGAATACCTGAAAAACAACAGGAATTTTAAAAATAATTTCTCTCGCTATTAAATCAATCATTGTTGCTGGCGAAGTAGTGCCGGACACCGGTACGTACCTTTAGCATACAGTAGTACCAGAGACGGCTTACGTACCTTTGTGTTCATGGTGTAGAGTGGATGAAGAGTGATACCAGCTCCTGCTTCCTGCCATCTTATATACCAGGAGGAACGTGTGGTAGGACAGGTTCCTCCCTCCAGTGACCTGCATTGTTGTGAAAGATGCTGCGATGACGACACCTCGAGACACTAACTTATGTGTATGTTGGTAAAATGATCGTAGCTGAGTAAGCTAAGACAGTAGTTAGCTTGAGAAGCCACTTTATACTTATGACGTGTTTTCTAAGTTGATTTTGTGATGATTTCTTGTAATGCAGTGATTGCTTTGACTAAACAAATCTAGTGTAGATTCTTAGATTCAGTATCTCCAGTTAGCTTAGAATAGATTAGTCTTAGTCAGGCTAGGTTACGTTTGGCTAGGCTTAGTCATGCTAGGTTACGTTTGGGTAGGTTTAGTCAGGCTAGGCTACGTTTGGCTAGGCTTAGTCAGACTAGGTTATGTGTGGCTAGGCTTAGTCAGGCTAGATTATGTTTGGCTAGGCTATGGCAAGGCTAGATTACGTTTGACTAGGCTTAGTCATGATGAGAGTAAGACACATGTGCACATGTGTCTTACTCTCATCTTGTCGGTATTATATACCATTCGTACACAGGCTTAGTCATGTTAGCTTACGTTTGGTTAGACCTTGTCAGGCTAGGTTACGTTTGGCTATGCTTAGTAGACTAGGTTACGTTTGGCTAGGCTTAGTCAGGCTAGGTTACGTTTGGCTATGCTTAGTAGGCTAAGTTACGTTTGGCTAGGCTTAGGCTAGGTTACGTTTGGCTAGGCTTAGTCAGGCTATGTTACGTATGAAACATAGGATATAGGAAAGCACTGGTTTGGTAATAGAGTTGTGGATGAGTGGAACAAACTCCCGAGTACAGTGTAGTTTTAAAAATAGGTTAGATAAATACATGAGTGGGTGTGGGTGGGTGTGAGTTGGACCTGACTAGCTTGTGCTGCTGGGTCTGGTGCCGTGCTCCTTCCTTGAGTGTAGCTGACCAGACTGGGTGGGTCATTTGGCTAATTGGGGGGGGGGGGCATGGACCTGCTCCGCATGGGTCAGTAGGCCTGTTGCAGTGTTCCTTCTTTCTTATGTTTTTTTTTTTTCTTAAATGGTTTAGAACCCGACAAGGCCTCCGGTATTTCACCTAGATCTAAGCTCTTTCTCCAAAGAATACTGAGGGCTCGTGTTAGTGGTACTTTGCACTTCTTTATAAATAGAGCATTCCATGAATCTGGTCCAGGTGCTGAGTGAGTGGGCATGTTTTCCATTTCTTTTTCGAAATCTATGGGATTTGTACTAATGTCAGTTAGTTGGTCTGTGCGGCCTTCTGAAGTGAAAAATATTTCTGCATTTTCTACCTTGCTGTCATTTACTGTTCTTTTAGGATTTCACTCATTTCCTGTTCTTCGTCAGTACACGAGTCTCCTCTCAGTAGTGGTCCAATTCTTCAGGTAGTTCTTAGCTTGGATTTTGCGTAGGAACAGAAATATTTTGGGTTTCTTGCAATGTCCTGTATGGCCCTTTGTTCCCTTTGTACTTCTTCTGTGAGGTATGACATCCTAAGTTTTTGCTCTAATTCAGTGATCTCTCTGCTAAGTCTATCTTTCCTCTGTTGTAGCATATTTGTGTTTCTAAACAATTCAGTAACCCGTTTTCTTCTTCTGTACCATTTCCTACGCTCTCTCTCTATATCTGATCCTCTGGGTCTCCTCAAAGGTACGTGCTCCATACATACTTTGTATGCTTCTGTATTCAGCTTCTCTAGGCACTGGTGGGGATTTAGGAGCGCTCATGTCTGATTCCCAGGATATGTCTTATAGCTCTTGGTTTATGGGTGTTAAAAATAAACTTACTGAACATCCCGTGTCTAACATTAGTGGTGCAGTTTCCTAACCTTGAGTTAATACTCGTTTGAACTTCTATGATGTTATGATGATCAGAGTATATTGTTTTTTGTAACTGTTGTGTCTTTGATCAGTTCCTCGTTGTTTGTGAATATCAAATCCAGGTTATTTTTATTTCTGGTGGGATCAATAACCTGTTGGTTTAATGAGTACTTTTCACAAAGCCTCATTAGTTCCCTGGTATGTACCTGTTGAGCCAGGCTGCTTCCCGGGGATATTTTTGGTATAACGTTACGTTGCACCATCTTCCATTTTACATGAGGGAGATTAAAATCTCCAAGGAGTAAAATATTTAGTGTGGGATTTTCTAGCTTATCCAGATAGCTATCTATCTTGACTCACGAAATCGTAATGACACGATTGCAAACAAACCATACCAAGGGCGGGATTTGAACCCGCGGTCAGAGAGTCTCAAAACTCCAGACCGTCGCGTTAGCCACGATCTTATTGTGGCTAGCTGGTCCAGTGGCTAACGCGACGGTCTGGAGTTTTGAGACTCTCTGACCGCGGGTTCAAATCCCGCCCGTGGTATGGTTAGCTATCTATCTTCCTTAACTGATGTGTGAATTCTCAGCAGCTGCTGATAGTGGTTCATATACTAGGATAACTACCAAATTCCTATTTTCAACTTTAATGCCTGGGCTTTCTACTATATCATTCGTAGAGTTCAGCACTTCTGTGCTACAGAAAGTATCTTTTACATAGATTCCTACTTCTTCTGTGACCTATTAATTATATCACGTCTATACATGTTATAGTTTTCTGTCTTTATCTTTCCATCCCAAAAATCCCTTGTGTGTGTTTCTGTAAATGCTACAAACATGACATTCGCTTCTGATAAGAGCCCACTGACGTGACTTTGTCGTTTTTCTTTGATTTCAAACCACATTAAGATCCGTGGTTCGATCCCCGGTAGGGGTGAAAACATTTGGGTGTGTTTCCTTAAGACACCTACTGTCCCTGTTCACTTAGCAGTAACTAGGTACTTCGGTGTTAGTTTCCCTACACCTGCTGTCCCTGTTCACCCACCAGTAAGTAGGTACCTGGGTGTTAGTGGACTGGTGTGGGTCGCATCCTGGGGCAAAACTGACCTAATTTGCTGGAAATGCTCTACATGACAAGGGGTTTTCTATACAGTAGTATGTCATTGATGTCAGCTATGGTCTGTATAAGTTGTATCATGTACGTGTAGAAATAAAGATTATTATTATTATTATTATTATTATTATTATTATTATTATTATTATTATTATTATTATTATTATTATTATTATTATTATTATTACTTCTAAAATCACTTCACTTTAAGATAGCTTTAGATTTATTCTTCATTTACCCTCTCTACCAAAAAAATTCCATTTTTTAGAATATATTATTTGTTTTCCTTGTTTATGAACCTTTCTGTTATTCCTGGGTCTTCCAATCAAATTCTCTAAGTTCAAGAATTTTTGGGATCACTGATTTTGCCAGCATTATATTTAGTTTATGCTATTAATTCATCCATATTTTGGTAAGTGGAATTTAAAGGGCGTTTTAGCTCATCATAAACCACTGTTTTAATGGTTTGATAATGATTTTAAGAGCACTTCAGCGCCATCTATGATTCTATTTTCATATTATTTGTTTAGTTATGAGTCGTACCAGTCATGGCATGACTTGTTACTGCTCTTATTCGCGAGTTATTTTATTAATTCTTTGCAGGTTAAGTGCTTTTAAGATCAATATCACTAGCCAATATATTCTTCTGTTCGTTTTAAAAAAAGTTCTGTTCATCCCATAGAATATTATTAACAGAACCCGCGTTAGAACCCGGTTAACCATTGGTCCAGTGGCTAACGCGACTGTCTGGACTTTTTGTGACTCTCTGATCGCGGGTTCTAACCTCACCCGTGGTATGGTTTCTTTACACAAGCGTCTCTCTGTTAAGTAATTGGAACTGAAACTAAATTAAAACTTCAGAATAAATTACGTATAATTTAATGATGGAATCTGGAGCTTATTTACATAATTAGCATAAATATCAACAAAAATGTATTGATAAGAAGGTGAGAGTTGAGAATGGAAACACCTGTGTCAATATTATGAGTGACTTGGGACTATCAGGTGTTGTAAGTCACTTCTCTTATTCGCTTCACAGAATATTCATGGCGAAAGATGAACTTTGAAGTCCCGTGGAAGTGACTTTTCAGAAGTAGTGAACGTGGGCTGCAGATGGAACTTGGTGACTTGTGTTATACACAACTCCACTTAAGGTCCGCCGTACCGGGAACTGGGTGACTCTGTTATACACAACTCCACTTAAGGCGCGCCGTACCGGGAACTGGGTGCTGCTGGTGGGGAGTACCTGCCGACCTCACTGGAGTCGGGGTAGCGAGCTTCTCCCTCGTACTGGACATCGGCAATGAATCCTGAGTCACCGTCCACGTAGTAAGTCACAGTTTGACGACGACCGTCGGGGAGCTGAATGGTATATGACCCCTTGGTGTTGTCGTCGTCGCGAGTCTCCTGGTGGGCGAAGTCGTTGCCGGACTCGGCGTCCTGCACTACGAAGTCGAAGCCATACTTGGGAGCTTCGAACTCCTCAGATGAGACCTGTCAGTGGAAGCAGTGACTTGTGAACTAATGAAAGATTTCCCTTTCTAAATGAATGAGTTAGATAAGGAAAACATTATTGTTGATGATAATAGTATACTTGACAATCCATCTATCCATCTGTTCCACCAAAGTACAAAAACAGTGGATATTCATATAGATTTTCCGCTATTTCATCAGAGCAGATTTTTGGCAGCACAAGTGATCGCATAAGTGATCATTTCTAGACACCTACAGACCCTTCAAGGAGAGTACCTTGAAGCTGATACAGAGTTACTGATACAGTTACAACTACTCTCCTCTTTCCAGCATCAAATCCAATAGCATTGTTTGTCTAGAGCTTACTAAGACGTTTACAGTATTAATACTTACCGGAGGAGGGCCGTAGGCGAGGGCTGGACGCTTGTCTGCAGCAACCACGGCCACCAAACCCAGCAGGAAGAATACCTGAAGAGCAATTATCGACAATTTCAATCGTGGTTAAAACAGTTATAAGAAAAGAAGAGACTCCTGGTTTACTTCCTTCAAGAGGGTTACTTCGCGTCTCGTAAAGACCTTGTCCTCGCCTTCTCTGAGTCAAATTGAATTACTCTATAAGTTTATATATGTATATAGGTATATATATATATGTATATATGTGTATACTTATACATATATATGCAATCCTGCTTGACTTCTCACTACTTCAGTGAATACATATCATTGTTTGTTTAAATATGATATACTGTATATAACAACTAATGGTGACATTAAGTTATTATTAATATTGTCAGTGTTCAGCAGTACCTTAGTGTTCATGGTGCAGTGTGGATGAGAAGTGATACCAGCTCCTGCGTCCTGATTCCTTATATACCAGCTCCTGCGTCCTGACTCCTTATATACCAGGAGGAACGTGTGGTAGGACAGGTTCCTCCCTCAGTGACCTACGTTGTTGTGTAAGATGCTCCAATGGCCACACCTCACTCACACCTCACACACACCTCACTCACACCTCACACACACCTCACTCACACCTCACTCACACCGGGTGGCCCGGTGGCCTGGTGGCTAAAGCTCCCGCTTCACACACGGAGGGCTCGGGTTCGATTCCCGGCGGGTGGAAACATTTCGACACGTTTCCTTACACCTGTTGTCCTGTTCACCTAGCAGCAAATAGGTACCTGGGTGTTAGTCGATTGGTGTGGGTCGCATCCTGGGGGACAAGATTAAGGACCCCAATGGAAATAAGTTAGACAGTCCTCGATGACGCACTGACTTTCTTGGGTTATCCTGGGTGGCTAACCCTCCGGGGTTAAAAATCCGAACGAAATCTTATCTTATCACACACACCTCACTCACACCTCACACACACTTCACACACACCTCACTCACACCTCACTCACACTTCACACACACCTCACTCACACCTCACTAACACTTCACACACACATCACTCACACCTCACACTTCACACACACAATCACTCACACCTCACTCACACCTCACTCACACTTCACACACACCTCACTCACACCTCACTAACACTTCACACACACATCACTCACACCTCACACTTCACACACATCACTCACACCTCACTCACACTTCACACACACCTCACTCACACCTCACATCAGCCGTCCCCCACCAAGGCAGGGTGGCCCGAAAAAGAAAAACTTTCACCATCATTCACTCCATCACTGTCTTGCCAGAAGGGTGCTTTACACTACAGTTTTTAAACTGCAACATTAACACCCCTCCTTCAGAGTGCAGACACTGTACTTCCCATCTCCAGGACTCAAGTCCAGCCTGCCGGTTTCCCTGAATCCCTTCATAAATGTCTCCATTGACTCCTATCAAACACGCTCACGTATGCTTGCTGGAATTCCAAGCCCCTCTCACACAAAACCTCCTTTACCCCCTCCCTCCAACCCTTCCAAGGCCGACCCCTACCCCGCCTTCCCTCCACTACAGATTTATACACTCTCGAAGTCATTCTGTTTCGCTCCATTCTCTCTACATGTCCGAATCACCTCAACAACCCTTCCTCAGCCCTCTGGATAATAGTTTTGGTAATCCCGCACCTCCTCCTAACTTCCAAACTACGAATTCTCTGCATTATATTCACACCACACATTGCCCTCAGACATGACATCTCCACTGCCTCCAGCCTTCTCCTCGCTGCAACATTCATCACCCATGCTTCACACCCATATAAGAGCGTTGATAAAACTATACTCTCATACATTCTCCTCTTTGCTTCCACGGACAAAGTTCTTTGTCTCCACAGACTCTTAAGTGCACCACTCATTCTTTTCCCCTCATCAATTCTATGATTCACCTCATCCTTCATAGACCCATCTGCTGACACCTTCACTCCTTAATATCTGAATACAGTCACCTCCTCCATACTCTCTCCCTCCAGTCTGATATCCAATCTTTTGTCACCTAATCTTTTTGTTATCCTCATAACCTTACTCTTTCCTATATTCACTTTTAATTTTCTTCTTTTACATACCCTACCAAACTCATCCACCAACCTCTGCAACTTCTCTTCAGAATCTCCCAAAAGCACAGTGTCATCAGCAAATAGCAACTGTGACAACTCCCACTTTATGTGTGATTCTTTATCTTTTAACTCCACGCCTCTTTCCAAGACCCTCTCATTCACTTCTCTTACAACCCCATCTATAAATATATTAAACAACCACGGTGACATCACACATCCTTGTCTAAGGCCTACTTTTACTGGGAAATAATTCCCCTCTTCCCTACATACTCTAACTTGAGCCTCACTATCCTCGTAAAAACTCTTCACTGCTTTCAGTAACCTACCTCCTGCACCATACACCTGTAACATCTGCCACATTGCCCCCCTATCCACCCTGTCATACGCCTTTTCCAAATCCATAAATGCCACAAAGACCTCTTTAGCCTTATCTAAATACTGTTCACTTATATGTTTCACTGTAAACACCTGGTCCACACATCCCCTACCTTTCCTAAAGCCTCCTTGTTCATCTGCTATCCTATTCTCTGTCTTACTCTTAATTCTTTCAATAATAACTCTACCATACACTTTACTTTACCAGGTATACTCAACAGACTTATCCCCCTATAATTTTTGCACTCTCTTTTGTCCCCTTTGCCTTTATACAAGGAACTATGCATGCTCTCTGTCAATCCCTAGGTACCTTACCCTCTTCCATACATTTATTAAATAATTGCACCCCCCACTCCAAAACTATATCCCCATTTTTTTAAAACATTTATTTATTTACCCCATAAACCCCGGCTCCCTTTCCCCCTTTCTTCTACCTACTCCCTCACGAAATTCCCCCCCACTAAACTGATCTTCCTCCCTAAAAAGATTTTATTCCTCCTTGCCCTATAAAAAAATCACAGCCCCCTATCTTCATAACATTAAAATTCTCAAAATATTCCCTCCCCCTCCCAATACCTCAAAAACCCCTTTCCCCTTTTTTTAACTGTAAAAATCATTTTTTCTCTGGCTCCTAAAAAATTTTTAAATCTCACCCCAAAACCCTATTTTATTTTAAAAACAAATTTGTTGTTAAATTCACCCCTCCTCATTTGTCTCTTTTTATTTGCTTCCCCAATCTTTAAACCTCTCTTTTTTTTCCCATATACTCCCCCTCCTTGTTCAGTAGTGTCCCAGTTCCGTCTAGTAACCATTTTCCGCCCCGCCCGTTGACTCAACGACCAACCGTCTTGAGTCCGGTCTTATTTGTGCTGAGCGGACATATTTTAAAAAAACCCCCAAGGGGGGGGACTGGCCCCCGGTAGTCATTTCACGAGTGTACCCAAGGAGATGGACGGCTGCGGGCTCTGTCCACATAAAGTAATAATAGTATAAAACCCTGTGGTTTTCTACCAAATCCAGATGAACCCCACATGATAAATGGTGGCGCGGTGTGGAGCGGGGTTTTACTTTTTTTAAGGGTAATTAAAGGCGTTTGAGGACTGTTTGAGTCCCGGCGGGGTCTTAGGTGATTCGTCCCCCCAGCCATACCCCCCCGACCACCTGAGCCAGCAGTACCCCTAAAACCCTATTGCTGCAAGCCGTTGCAGCGTTTAAAGCTTCTGGCTTTTTGTTGCTAATTGCTTAAATTCCGGGGGGTTTTTGCCCCCGGATTTTGAAAATTAAGCCGTCGGGCCGGGGACTGTGGAGTGAACGCCAGTCGCCATATCCAGCCTGTCCCTGTCATCCAATCTCCCCCGGCTTTGTGCATCTTTTACACGTTTTCCCGTCACCCTTTCTCGTGGGGTAAGCCAGTCAGCCAACCCAGCTTCAAACCCCAGCTGAGAGAGGAAGTAACCCCACGCAGTAAGAAGAAAACCCCAAGCTCCTCGAGGTATTTTTTATATCGTTGTGCCCCTGTTGGTGCTAAGGTGGTTTTCACTTTCCCTGTGGATGAGTGGTTTGTTAGCCATTTCGTGGGGAGTGGGGTGCGGGTGACCCCGGTCCCCCCCCCCTCTCCCACTCCCCGGGGTGCCGGGGCCAGAAGAAACCCCCCAACCACCCCCACCGCCATCCATTTTTCTCCCTGTGGTTTTTGCACCTTGTCCCGGGTCCTGTACTGTTTTGGCCCAAAATTGGTCAAGAGTTGTAGTGGGCCAACGAGATAAGCCAGTTATGTGATTTTCGCCTAGAACGCCCCATTTCTTCACGAACAGTGGAGGGGAAAGGGGAAAGCACCCCCCGCCCCAGGACAATTTTCCCCTCACCCCAGTACTCACGCCGTCTTCTACCCCGACCCCGGGTGAATTTTTTAGACATTTTTCTTGATTTAAACATTTGCGGTGTGAGACTTTTATAGTAAATTGTTTGTGTACTCAAACCTTGTGTTTTTTGTGTAAACGAAAGTTTTTTTAACTCGTTTTTTTAAAATATTTTTCAGTTTTTTTAAAATTTCTTATATTTTTATTCTGTGTTTTTTCTTTATGTCCCTGTCTGTAAAAAGTATTTTTGTTAGGTCCAGTCAGTATCTGTGTGAAGGAATCATTTTTTTTTTTATTGTATTTTTTCCGCGTTGATTCTCAGATATCATTGTATTTCAGGCGTATTTCACCCAGTATACCAATTTCCTTTTTTTTCTATGTGTGTAATTTTTTCGTATGAAAAAGTGTCTATTTCTCAAATTTTTTTGCAGACTGTGTACCATTTTTTGCCGAAATTTTTTGTTGTATCAGTCACGCAAGATTTTGTTTATCGTCACAGCAAGATTTTGTTGTATCAGTACAGCAGGATTTTGTTGTAAAAATTTTTTTTTTTTTTAAATGAAGTCCCCCCCGTCATGTAAGTGTTAATTCCCTTTTTTGTTCCTGTGTTTTTATTCATATTTTTATTTGAAAATTTTCACTTTGATGCAATTTCAATTTACTTTTAACGTAAGTGTTTTCTTTACTTGTTTGAGTAAATTGTTTTGTTATTTCAATTAAGAGTTAAAGTGTTCAATCAGGTTTTTTTTTTTTTTGGTCTTCTTTTTAATTCATTATTTTCCTGAGTTTTCCAGTGAAAAATTTATTACTGCAGTGATTGTTTCTACACCTTTTTTTGTTGACTTTTTTCTAAAGTAAATTTTTTGTTTGAATGTTCTGCAGTGAATTTATTTTCTGTTATTGTATTTTATGTTTAAAATTTTAAATTTTTGTCTATGCATTCTTAGAAAATACTTAAATTTTCCCCGTTAAACAATTTAATAATTTTATTTTACATTTACTTTATTTAAAATTTTAATTAATTTAAATTTCTTTATTGAAGAGAAAAGAAGTCATTTTGCATTTAATTCGTCCCCGTAATTTTTTTTTTGTATATTTCAATGAAAATTTTTTTTTTTTGCTTTGCCTTTTAAATTGAGTTTCC